CAACACACTCAGGTCCTTTTCTGCCAGGCGGCTTTCCAACCAGTCGTCCCCAAGTCTGTAGCGTTGCATGGGGTTGTTGTGACCCAAGTGCAGGACCCAGTTCTGAGCCTTGTTGAACCTTGTACGATTGGCCTCGGCCCATCGATCCAGCCTGTCCAGATCCCTCTATAGAGCCTTCCTACCCTCAAGCAGATCAACACTCCCACCCAGCTTGGTGTCGTCTGCAAACTTACTGAGGGTGCACTCAATTCCCTCGTCCAAATCATCAATGAAGATATTAAAGAGAACTGACCCCAATACCAAGCCCTAGGGAACACCACTGGTGACCAACCACCACTGGATTTAACTCCATTCACCACCACTCTTTGGGCCCAACCATTCAGCCAGTTTTTTACCCAGCGAAGAGTACGCCTATCCAAGCCATGAGCAGCCAGTTTCTCCAGGAGAATGCTGTTGGAAACACTGCCAAAGGCTTTACTAAAGTCCAGGTAGGCAACATCCACAGCCTTTCCCTCATCCACTGAGTGGGTGACCTTGTTACAGAAGGAGATCGGGTCAGTCAAGCAGGACCTGCCTTTCATAAATCCACGCTGACAGGGCCTGATCACCCGGTTGTCCTGTACATGCTGCGTGATAGCAGTCAGGATGATCTGCTCCATAACCTTCTCCAGCACTGAGGTCAGGCTGACAGGGCTGTCGTTCCCCAGATCCTCCTTCTGGCCGTTCTTGTAGATAGGCATCACAACCTCCAGTCAACGGAGACCTCCCCGGTTAGCCAGGACTGCTGATAAATGATGGAAAGTGGCTTGGTGAGCACTTCTGCCAGCTCCCTCAGCACCCTTGGGTGGATCCCATGTGGCCCCATAGACTTGTGTGTGTAAAGCTTATAGAAAGATCTAGAAAGATTATTCAGAATATCTGAGATAAGAATCACACCTTCAAGGTACTGGGTGGACGATTTGGAAGCTCTGGAGAATTTAACATTCCCTGTAAATCTGTGACAATGCATAAAGCACACTTCAGATTTATCCTGTACTAGTATTTTTCATGGAAAATGAAAGATTATTATCTCCCTTTGTAGTGTACGGTAGTTTTCTGAGAATTCTCTGTCAGGCGGCTGGTACAGAAGAACATTCCCCTTCTGCAGTAATACAAGCCAGTAATTAAACCTGAACACAGGGAATAGAGCTATAAAGTAAATCAAAGTGAGTGTTGAATTGTACCTTCATGCACCGGGTGGTAAACTCTTTATAACAAAACTCAAAGCTTCCTTTCTTTGCTGAGGAACCATGAATTGCAGCCTCTGTTTGCAGTGTTACTGTTGCCGTCACCTGCTGTAAATCCAGCATGAAAAGAAATCACGGAGGGAAGAAGTGGAAAGCACATTTTGCTCCTTTGCCTCCCTTCCCCGCAGGGTGGTCGCTCAAAGATCTGTGGCACCTGAGCTCATGGCTGGAGGAAGCCACCCCAAAGGAGACCCAACCCAAGTGTTTTAAAACCATCTTCTGAGCGGAGTGGCTTAGACCTGGTAAAGTCAGATTAAATCAGTGGAAAGGCTCTCCTGATTTTCAATAAGTAGGTTTTTCTCTGATGCTTACATCTCTAGCACAATCTGATTGGTGGAAAAATGGGCTAAATTCGGAACTTGGTGAATTTCATGGTGCTCCCTTGCCATAAAGTCCGTATATAACGAAGATAACCTCTTGCATGGATGGAGGGGTCGGGGGCGCACTTGCAGGGCCAGTGTCCCATCTCATCCCTTCTCATTCAGAACCTTGTCGCTGACTGTTTGCATGCTTCCCTGTAAGTATCAGTGATGGGAGAGGAGGACAGATGTTTTACCCTACTTCACCAAAGCGTATAATCTCTTGCTGCTACTCTACCATTGACTCTAAAATCACGCCTGCCCAGGATGCCCTCATGTTATCTACCGCCGTACAGACAAGCTGTCAAAACGTTGGCAGGGATTTTGGTGCTAAAATGACTCAGGAAGACAGCTGGAATAAGGCTTGCAGGTTTATTTGGTGGTTTTACTTCGTTTTTCTCTAAAGATGGTTGTCAGCGTTATGTGGGCATCTGAAGCAGCAGTGGTGATAATGGGCTTGTTGAAGCAAATGATGGATTAAGCTTGGTTTGCAGGGGTGCCAAATGCATTACCAAAAGATGAGGGCTGTCTGTAGGGAGGTGGTTGGTCTCCATTTTCGTACTGAGTAGACTTAAAATAGTAGTGCAAAGACTGGGCATTTTGAGCCCTTCCCGATGAGCATAGGCCGATGCGAGGGAAAGGGAGTATAAAAAGAAAGTATTTTTAAACATATTTTGCAGTCTGATTGCCTGCTAGATTCTCCGTTACTTCTCATAATATGCTTGAAAAGTTTTATTTGTGCCTCGAGGGCGATGAGCCTGTCTTCATTTAGGGATGCAACTGCCGGTAATACCACTGTGCTATTGACAGCTTTATGCACTCTCACTAGCAGCCTGCCTCTCTTATTTACTCACTTGTATTCGTGTTGCCTTGCAAAAGCAGTACAGTTTTCTACCTCCTAGTTATAATTGCATCCTGGGCCACCTTGTTACGGAGCCTATTCCTGTAGCGTGAAGTGAAAAAGCTGGTTGTTACCATGATAATTCCCCCCCCCCTACGTATAATTGAGCCTGGATAGTCATTATGTTTTTTCCTAGGTTCATAATTAAAGAAACCTCAAAGGAGAGCTTTGTAACTATTATAAGGGCAAAAGAGGAGTAACGTTCAGTGTGAACTTGTTGTTTATAAACAAGTAGATTTGAGTTTCCAGAAATTTCGGATATCTAGCTGAAAATTCATGGGAGTTCGGAAACACTAAACAATAGAACAGCGTGACAAAGTCAGTCATGTCTGTTCATTGCTTAAATTATGTTTGTAAGACATGAGGTGTAATTCAGTACTACAAGAGTTACGTTTTATGAATTTTTATGAATTATGTTGTCCTTGTAAATTCTATGTAATTACTAAAATTACTGGACATATCCTTTGTTATTTTAAAAATAAAGTTGTGTTTTATCTTACTTTTTAAAAACAATAGTTCCAAGTATTGGACTCCACATGACATCCTTCGTGCTTTGTTTTGCTGCTTATTCTGGCAGCAGTTCTTCTGGTTGGTAGGTTTTTTCCCCATCAGTCCCCAATGTCCTACCTTCTTGTTGAAAGGGATTTTGGAAAGATGCTTCTCATCAGGAGGTGTGCTTTGGTCCAGGTCCCTTGGTTTGTCTCCAACAGAAAGTATTTCTCACTTGGATGGGGGTGGTCCAACAGATCCATAATTTTGGTTCTCCTAGATTTTGGGTGAGAAGCAGAGTCAGAAATAATAGTGGTTCATTCTGGTGAGGTTGCAGAAGGACCAAAACATCTATTGGACACTTCTCTGGCCTAAAAGCAAAAGAAAACTGCCTTCTTTGGGGACCTGCAGAATTTGTATTGTGGAAAATATGGTCTGTAGGTGGAGATTGCTGGAAAATATGGGGCAATTATCATCAATTCTGTTGATAGTTGTTATTACAACTTTCTATTTATTGCTTTATCTCAGTCGTCCTGCTTGCCTGCTTTATAAAGTGGACTGCAGCCAAGATGTCAAACACAAAACTTGAAACAGATTTTTTTCTTTTTTTCTTTTCTGAAGAAATACAGAAGTTAGTTGTTCAAGTATTACACTTTCAAGCCTGAAGAGTAACCACATACTCTTTTGTAGTATATTCCTCCATGGGCAGGTGAACCTTTGACATAAAGTTAGTCTGTTTGATGCAGACCGTGGATATTGAACCAAGCTGAGCCTTCCTCCGTGTCTGTCTTGTTTTGTTTGCTCCAGGTGAAGAAGTACCACATCACCTCTGCTCCGAGCTTCCCCGTCCTGAAGTTGTGGCTTGTGAAATCCCTTGTGCAATGGACTGTGTCATCAGCGAGTGGTCCCCGTGGTCCCCATGTTCCCACTCATGCTCCAGTAAAAATGCTGAGGGCAATCAAAGCAGGAGTAGGTCCATCTTGGCCCTTCCAGCCGAGGGTGAGTGGTATACAGTTTTGGATTAATCACTGCTTGTTTGTTTAATGAGTTGACTTGCATTCCTCAGCAAAACTGTGTTTATATCACAGCTAATCCCAATAGTGTAGCAACGAGAAATAGTACTTAATTCTTCTCTGTACTTCACGCCTAGCTACTAAAAGATCTTTATGGACTTGAGTTAATGCATGTGTCAGAGAAATTCTGTCACAGTTCAAAATTATTTATTTCAGCCTGTGAATTATTGTCTATTGAGGGCCAATCTGGGTGTGAATTTACTTCAGGAGAACTACATCCTATCGTAATGAAACTGCTGCATGACACAAACTCATCATGCAAGTGTCTTTGTATAGGAACATATTAGTAGTGATTTGGAAAACAACAGAGAACTGTGAAAAATGAGGAAATAGAAAACGACTTGGTTTTTTTATTAATGTAGACCTAGAATATATTGTTTTTCTATTGTAGTAAGTAAATAGCTTTTGATGAATATATATAATTTCCTCTGGATCTTCATGGACACATCACATATCTGGATTTTTACATACCGACATCAGTGATACAATTATTAACACAAAGTATTTCATATTACAAGAGTAGTCTTCTAACTAGTTACACATATGATAATTCATTTATGTGTTGATTTATCGTGCATTTGAAAGGTATCTCATCAATTGCATAAAAATTCATAAAACGTGAACAGGTCTAACAGACTAAAGCCTTGTTGACACAATAAAAATATCCCTATTGTCAGAACTATGTGTGGTGAATGCAGCAGCCAAACACTTTTAGATGCAAATCTAGTCTAGGACAAGCTCTGTTAAGTGCTATTTTGTAAATTATCATTATAGCCACCCACTGTTTCTGGGACAATATAAGGACTTGATCTTGTAAACCCTTACTCATGTGAATGGTCTCTATTCACATAAACATCCTTATAAGCACTTGCAAAGAAAATTGAGACCCTTCAGGATGAAAACTGCTATATAATTGTCGATTGAATGATAATAACTACTACTAAAAAAGCCTATCAGCTAGAGAATAATTAAAATGAAAAATACACTTGGTTTCATATTTTCCATGGAAGTAATGAAATGCAAATAACAGATAAACATGGAATTATGAAAGTGAAGTGTTGAAGAAGTGAGTTCTGGAAAAACATAAGCTCAGTCATCTCAACCTGAAACACACTAAACTAAAAATGACGTGCTTTGAACTGAATACTTGAAGTTTCTCAGGAAGGAATAATTAACTATTGAAATCAAACACCCCAACTTTTTCTGTACATCTTTAGCAGTGAGTATGATGGTTTGCTATGCGCAGTCACACATCTGCGTACAGATAAATAGTGATTGATTTGAATTTGTGGAGAGTGGAAGTGGATTTAATACCATTATCACTGCAATACTAAGGCAATGTTATGTTACCTGCTTTCTCCGAGTCTTTCATACCCAGCTCGCAGCTGAACCACCAACTTCTACAGAGCTGTGGTACCTTTGCAAGTGCCATTGCGTTTGTCCTCCGTGGCTCTGCTAGCTGAGGACTTCTGGATGCCATCTCACAGGCTGACTTCAGTTCAAACCCTTGAGTCTCTTTCTCTGAGCTGTTCAGCAGCTCCCAGAATATGATAACCAGGAGGCTGCTGATGAAACTAGAGGGGCTTGGTTTAAATCAGGTTTTAAAACATATTTCTTTATGCAGCAAACTTCTGAAACTTGGTGCCAGAGGAGACTGTGGAGTAAATGGCTACTGGAATGGCTAAGCAGTGGCATGCTGTCCTGCTTTCCTGTACAAAAGTTGTCAATGAACTGCAGAAAGTGGCCAGGCTCTTGTGCTTTTTATAAACAGCATCTCCTGCTTGGAGTTTTGCAGGCAGGACTGCTGGGTTGAATGGACCATGTGGTATTTCTTAGTATCTGAAGTTAAAACTGCTTCATTATTACTGTCCCTTGTTTAGGAGAGCTTCCTTAGCATGGGTATTCTTGAAAAAAAACCCCTTAATTTTCCCCTGAGAAGCTCAAAATTTGAGTTAGATCTTTTCCTTTTATTTTGATTTTTTCCTAATGGACCAGATATTTTGCCATTTGCTTACTACATTTTTTTTCCCCCCCACATGTGCTTAAATGTACAAGAGCAATAACTGGTCGGCATTTTTCCTGCCAAGTAAAAACCTTTAGGAAATAAGTTACCTGGGGCATTTTCTATGCCACCATCATACTAAACATTTCTGAGACTGAACACTGTGTGGAAGTGTCCATTTTCATGAAAAGATGAATGGTAATGTGACACGATTATCCAAATCAGTGTGCTAAGAAATTTCTCTCTCTCCCTTTTGTCAGTGCTATTCATTGTGGCCGTTTGGATCAAAGCTTATTTGAGAAGGCTTAGTCCTGCAAGGCAGTAGGCATTCCTTCGAGGAGCAATATACCTTCATCTCCTGTTGATTTTGGTAGGATGTAAAGGTGCTCTGAACCTATGGTATCTGGCCCCAACACCAGTTCCTTCAAAACCTGCAGCACTTTGGCTATGTCACAAGTTGCCAGATTCTCCCTCCTGGAAGAGAATGATTTTGATTTTAGTCATTTTTACTACTTTCTTCCTAAAATGACAATGTTTACCTTTGAATTTCACTGCATTACTCCTTAGCTTTTGAGCTACGAACATCTGCTGCTTTTATGGGATAAATTCAGGCTGCTGACTAGAGTGTTAAAGCTTCTGAGGAGGCTGTTCGAACTCCCGTACTTTGTGGGTTTATTACCAGTTGACGAAGCGTAGTAGCTTAGCAAAAGCTTTGGACACCAACTTGAAGGACGCTGCCTCAGAAAAGTAAAGGCTTCATACTCAAAACCTGTCTTTCAAGTTTTCCCTCCTTGATTTGCAGATGTGGGTATCATTTGATACATTCCTCTATCAGTATGATTCAGCACCCGCTATGGCTCAGCTCTTTAAGGCAACGCGTGAATAGAGTCCAAATATTAGAAAGAGATGTTCCTCCTTGGGAAATTAGCAAGGAGAATGAACATAAAAATAATGCTTAATTTGTCTTTAAACCTAATTGCATGTTTGCCGAGTGATACTGGCATTTAAATGGAATTAACTTGGCTGTGTGTAGGAGTATCAATAAGGTAACTCAGAAATATACTTTGCCTATTTCTGTTTCCATTATGCGTTGGAATATAATTTTATGCAAGGCTAGTTTAATGGGGAAACAATATTTTAGAAGATTGTTATTGCAGCCATAAAGGTCAATGGCTTTATTGAAGCTTTATTTATTTATTTTTTTAAAATGGAGGAGGGGAAAAAAAAAAGAGGATATTAAGCAAACCTAACATTCTTATTTATTTTTCCATGTCTTCCTTTTGCCACATGCCGTAAGATAAAATATGGTGTTCTCTTGACTCTTTCCAGGTGGAAAAGCCTGTCCCCCTGACCGAGCCCTGCAGGAGCACCGTGCCTGTAATGATCACCCGTGTGTGCATTTCTTCTGGGAAACTTCTCCCTGGAGCTCTTGCTCTGAAGATGTGCTGGTAACTGCGCTCAATGCAACCATTAACTGGAGCAGAGAAGCGACTTGTGGAGTAGGCATACAGACAAGGAAAGTCTTCTGCATGAAGAGCAGTTCTGGCCAGGTCACACCTAAAAGGTATTTAAAGGAAGATTATTATGGATTATTTGTTGTTACAGTACGTGACATATGAAGGTGTTTGTAGCTAGTGTATGGAATCTGCAGCATTGAAAATAATTTTGTTTCAGGACTAATTCTCCAGCTACAACTCCATCACTACTACGAAAGGGATATTAATATGTAAGAAAAATAAATAGCTAGCCCATTTTTAGTTTTCTGTGTAAATCTAGCAAAATACATGCTTTTAGTGGTATAGATTTTTTTGCTGTAGCTCCTATATCATTCTAATTTACCGTTTTCTGCAAATATTTCTCCTGGAGGACAGGTGTGAGGAAAATATAAAGTACATCCGAATATAACGTTCATCAATACATTATTAATGATGCTCTGATAAAATAGAAAAAGTAAATAGAGTTTGCATTATATTTACACCACAATAAGGCAGAACCATGTATGTGATATATATTGTTCAGTTGATTTATGTAGCTTCTATAGTGTGATACCAACACGACAAAATTATGTATTCTGCAGTACAAATATTCTGAATTTTGCTTTGCTTTACTAAATGAGGAAAATAAGTAGCACAGATGTTTTCCCTAATATCAAAAAATCAAGACATTGCTAATTATTTTTTGCACTGTTAATGAGTCTAGAGACTTAACAACCAAGTTTCATTCCTTATTGTAACTCTCAAAACAATCCTGTTCGTGTAAGCAGACTGTGTTGATTTCAGTAAAGTTAATTAAAATTCTTGAGGTTAATGAGATTAATTAAATAAAAGGAAAGAAATCTAGTATTCATTTATATCTAGAATCCATTGATATGCTGTAACTTTACCTAATTAAACATATTGTTTACAGAGCTATATAAAGTCTAAAATAGTTGTTTGCCCTCTCCACTTTTGAGAAGGTGTGAGGGGAAATGGAATCGAAGGGGGTAAGTAAATAAGGGAAGTATGTGAAGGGAAAACAGTTTCAGTGGTGGAATAATCCTGACAAACGAAGAGATTTGTGTTCTGGGGACTTCAGAAAGGGGCTCTCCTTGGCTTTGGTGTGGTAGCTTCAGTGCCGCGGCGTTCCTCGTGTAATGGAAGTGGCTGGATCACAAAGGACTGCTGACTCCTTAAAAGAGCTTCTTACAGAAATTGTTTCTTTTGCTGCTGTGGTGCATATTGTTCTTGTGATGATAATAGTCTTTAAAATAAAAACCTTAGACCTCTAGAAGTCTTTGGGAAGATGATTCTAAGTGAAGGATTAAAACTCCGTGTTTCAAAATTAAATATCACCTTGTTACTGCCCAGGAGGGTCTGGACCAGTCTGGTGCTGGGATGGAGGGCAGCCCTCCTTGCTGTGGGCGCTGGCTGTGACTATATTATATTTTATGTTTGAGTTGTTGATGAAAACTGTCCCAAAGTAATGTTGGGTTTAGAACTGCTGTGGTGAATGTCTACTGTTAATATGGCTTCAGAAATGGGATATGTTATGTAGATAAATAACTTTTTGTGTTGACATACTGTATTTTTTGCATTCTACATTTTTGCTGATTTCATGAAGAAAAATTCCACCATATCCAAAGAAGGTGCAAGGCACAGAAAGCCAAATAAAACTAAAATTTTTGCAGAAAAATGTTTCAACATCTTCTGTTAGATAGCAGAAATCTGCCCTCTAGGATAATCGTGCTTAATGAGAAGACATGTCTCTTTGTATTTATTTTCTTTTAAATTGTACCTCTAAGTGTCTTATTACTATCTCAGTAACAAAATCATGACATGAAGATTTATTTTCTTTCCTAGTAGGGTTTAGTGGCATATTCCTCTTTCAAATGGGATCATTTTGGGTTGCGTGCATTACTAAGTATTTTTGGGTGATCCTTCTACTAGAAATTAATAAAAATTAAAAACCGAGTAATTCCCTTTCTGTTCCCCAACTTGAAAGGCAAGCTCTGCCTGATCCCAGAAAATTGCCCCTTTTCCACCCTTTGAGTTTTTATTTAACTGTGTCTGAAACTTTTATTAGAATATGCTTGAGATGTTTTTCATTTAGGAGTTAAAAATGAACTAAAAAAAAAAGTCACGGAGCTCTTCTTACTATACTATGTTGTACAACTTTCTAAATAATAATTGAGGACTCAATCACAGATCACTTTAAGCTATTTTTGTGTTTCCCAGGGGTTGAAAGTGGAGGAATTTCACATCAGTCCTTACACACAGTTGCAAGTGTTTTGAAGGCAGTTGCATGCTGTGTTAAAACAGGAGTACTTTATAAACATAACTACTCACTTTCTTTGGTAATAAATATATCTGTTTTGCATCAGTGAGCTTTGTATTTTAGGTGTCATAGTCAGAGTTACATTTAGCCTGTAGTCATCAAGCCAAGTTCCATGTTTTTTTTTACTATTATAACTTTTTTTTTTTAAATCTTTGAAGTGTACTAAATTCAGTTGGGTTACATGAGTGCAAAGGAGAAGAAAAATGAGGGTTGCTGTGACCAGGAGTGATATCTTTGGTATGGCAGTACACTCACATCCCTGTGAGAGTTTTACGAGTAAAACATTTGCCTGTAGTTTTAATTTTATATTATATCTTTCCATTTGGATCGATAGATGTCCAGAGTCCATCAGGCCTGAGACCGTGCGGCCGTGTCTCCTCCTCTGCAAGAAAGACTGCATTGTTACGCCTTTCAGTGAGTGGACTCGCTGCCCAACAGCCTGTCAGCCTGGTAAGCCTTTAAGAAGTCAAAATTTGGGTAAAAATTGGAGAATTAGTCTAGAAACGTGCGGTAGTTGTAGTTCACTTCAGTCTAATAATTTTTAGGGCATTCATATGAATGAGTTTTGGACTTGGGGTGTTGTTGACACTGATGTTGTTGGGTAGGGTGGGATCTTCGTGAGCAGATTTGGAGATATAAGTTCTCTTTACCTGAAATAAATTCCTTCTGGACTTCTGCCTTCCAAGCCAGAAGTCCAAGGTCACAACATTGTACGCTTATACATGGAATTGCTAAATTATGTGAAATCTATTTCTGTTGACCAACCTAAAGGTATGTACAGGGTTGTGCTAATAACTCCAGTGCTTCATGGTTTTTCAAGGACCATACATTTCTTTGATCTAGTTGGTTAACTTTTGGACACGAAGTGTTTAGCAAAGTTTCTTTATAATGATCTAGTGTTGATTTTTGCAGCAAATTTGTGTGTTTCATTAATTGTTCAGATGAAAGCCTTCTCAGTTATCAGAATATTTCGTTATTGTTGGTAGCTTCCTTGCCCTTCAAAGATTCTCGGTGGATGCTCTAGTATAGTCCTTGTTTGATTTTACAGGAAAATGAGTTGCTTTCTAAAACAGTGAGTCCTGTTTTAATTAGCAATTTATTTTTAGACTTTAAATGAGCTGCCTATGAAGAAGTAGAATAAATTACCTGGTAAATTACTTTGTTTATTAAATAATAGTCTACAATTAAAATGAGAAGAAATTAATTATTTAACCTCCTTGGCAGTGTTATCATTTTAATATAATTCTAAATTAAAACTTCTTAGATGGGGGAGTTTGCTTTTTTCCTAAATCTGTTATTGATATGGCTGCATTGGAAGATTTTTTTTTATTTTTAATTTGCATTGCACAATTAAAACCTCAGCACGATAATGAAATTTCAAAACCACTATACATACGTGAGTTGTTAGGGGTTTTGTTTTTTTTATAGAAAAGTTGTATTTAATGAAAACAATATACAGATGGTGAATTACTAAGCAGACCAAGCAGGGACAGGTATTGCCTGGCAGATTTAAAATTAAATATGTACCAGCATAAGATCAGAGCTTAGACAAACATGCAGTCACTAAATCAGCTTTACACAGAACTTTACGAGTTAAGCTGTTTGTAGTTTATCTGAGAAAATGTGTCCAACTTTACTATCTAACA